GGCAGTTATCATCTGCCAACTATCACAAAATTCAATCTCGTAAGAGATCAACATGAACCCTCTATTCCCTTGAACAACATTTCTCTTCACAGCAATCTGAAATTAGTAAATTGGGATAGTTATGACCAAACTGTGAATAAAATGTTAATGAACTTTAAAGTTGACAATAGTGATTTCCAAGACTCATACAGAAAGTTTTGTTCAATTATTCTATTGGCAATCAAATTCTCCGGGCCCAGCTAAACCATAACATAACTGATAGTAATAATAACCATCCTATAAAAAGGTGTCAAGTACCTTGGTGGAATGATAAATGTTCAAAAGTAGTAGAAGACTGCAAGAACGCCTACATTAATTTCAAAACTAGTCTTAATAGTAAAAATTACATTAATTTCAAACGCGCACAAGCCGTTAAAAAGCTTTCCGAGTTCTAACTTATTTTCTGACCTCAATTGGGTTCAAACATTTTCATGTGTTGGAAAAACTTTCCAACAATTAATAAAACAGAGATTAATTTTTCACATAGAAAGTAATAATCTTTTACCTTACAATCAGTTTGGCTTTCATTGTGGCCGTTCTGCTTGTGAGAGTCTACATCATTTCTGTCTGGATATCCATGATGCTCGTTCTGAGAATAAAGTACTAGTTGGTGTTTTTGTTGACATTGTAAGGGCTTTCAATAATGTAGATCTGAACAAATTATCCTCAATATTATTATTACTGCGGGTACCTGGAAAAGTTGTAAATTGTATTTTTAATTTGTTGAACTACAGAAAGGTGTTTGTTAAGGTTAACAATCAGTTATTTGGTCCAAGATATTCTTGTAGGTGTGTATCACAGGGTGGTGTATTGAGCCCATTGCTTTTTATCCTATTCATACATCAGCTAAATTTAACTCTGGGGTGTGAAGTTTCTAATCTGCAGTTTGCAGATGATTTACAAAGATGTACAAAGTGTACAATCAGTCCTCAATGTAGCTCTCCTAAGACTAAAGAACTATTTTGATAGCCTTCGGCTGGAGGTCAGCAATGAAAAAAGTTTTTGTATTTTGAAAAAATGGAATTAGAAATAGGAATGTAAATATTTTGTTCAATAATAATGTAATGTCTGTAGAGAGCTCTGTAAAGTTTTTAGGTGTTATTTTTACAAACAATTCTAGATGGAATAAGTATGCTGAAAATCTAGAATCTCAAGCTTTAAATGCTTGTAATGTTTTAAAATCTTTAACAAGCACATACTGGGGTGCTGATTCAAGTATTCTATTAACATTGTATAATTCATTAGTAAAGAGTCATTTTGAATATGCTTTTTTTTTGTTTTGCAGGGGTAAGAACTATAGTAGACAAATTAGAAAAGATACAAAACAAATGTTTGCATATTATAATGGGTGCCATGGGAACTACTCCCATAGTTTCAAAACAGGTGGAATGTAATATACCTCCATTAGCACTTAGGTTTAAATACTTACAATCAAAATGTTTTGCAAGGTTGCTCTCCATTAGTAATCATTCACTTCTTGTTAAACTGCAGGACACTGTTAACAGGACTGCCAATATTAATTCATATTTGTTTCACGGTTTTTCTGAAACAGAACAAATTGTTAATAAACACAATATTTTTTCTAGCATGGTATGGCCTTGTTACTTTGGGTTATATGAATCAAAATTTATGTAGATTAAAATTGTAGTCAAAAGTCTTGTAAAGTATAAGGAAGACATTTATAGGGAACTTGATATATACAGATGGGTCTAGGAACAATGAAGCAGTCTCTATAGCTGTCTATGATAGTCTGATCAAAAGTGGACTCGGTCATAGGCTGAATTCACTAACAAGCATATACTCCGCTGAATCCATAGCTGTATACACAGCACATTCAAACACAGACTCATCAAAAGTGGATTATAATAACGGATAGTTTAAGTTTATTAACGGCACTACAAAATCCACAATTAAATTCAAAAACTAACTATATTATATATAAAATAAGAGAGTTGTATCACCTGCTGTCTCAAAACAAGCAAATAGTCCTATTCTGGACACCAGCCCACATTTGTATGCATGGTAATGAGCACGCAGACTATTTAGCTAAATTTATTACAAATCCGGCCCACAATTAATTAAGTCATAGCTTTTTAAATTTCCCAATTCCTTATTCAGACGCTCTATCCCTTTTCAAACTCACGTTACAGAAAGAATTTTACAACTTGTGGCATCAGGTGGTAAAGGTAAAAGGAAAATGGTTCGCTACAATAAAGAAAAAGGTCTCTTCCCAGGTTTACCTGGGGTAGTGACTATAGCCATAGAAAGTATTATACCACAATCTGTCGTTTGCGTCTGGGACATTGTAGTTTTGGTGCTCACCTTTTTAGGGTTGGTGTTTTTGACTCTTCAACTTGTAGATATTGCATTAATGCTGATGAAACCCTCGAACATATATTTTTTGATTGTCCACAGTTTAGTATTCAAAGGATGGTCCTTGTAGATCAACTTTTAAGTATTTTTAAAACTGCTGAAGATATCCCGCGCTCCCTTCAGCAATTACTAAGCATTCAAGAATGCTTCTTGCCAGTTTATGGCTTTATTGTATCTACTATAAATGAAATCTAATTGTTATATGTACATATGTATATACTAATAACTTTTTCGTTTTGTTTAAGATATTTGTTTTTCAGCTATTTCAGCTATTTTCAGAATTTGACCGTTTCATCGATTGTGACAAATGAATTGTACTAAAAATGACATTACAAGGACTTGACAAAAAGGCATAAAAAACAGGCATAAAAAATATTTTAAATAAAGACATGGCCCAGGCCTTATAATTAAAAAATGATTCAAGAAGAAAATTAAAAATGTAATTAATGATACAAAATACAAAAGACATGGCTGTAAAATTATTTACGTGCTCCTCTATGACAGGACCAATATTATCGAAGCAAATCAATATTAGAACCTTTCAATGAAGGTAATGCATTTTAGATGGTCTGCTGGCATTTTTAATGTTTCATTATTTTAAAAATTAGTGGTAATTTAGCAATTTTATCTTTTTTATCCAGGTCAGCATTATAACATAGATGAATATTTTCCTTTATAGAGTAAAAAGTGCAATGTCCATTTTTGGCCTAGTATGAACAAGCTGGTATAAATAAAATAAGTTAAAAAAAAATATTATTTTTAGCTAGCCATTCTGTTGTTCTTCGAGTGTAAAATTGTGTTTTATTGAAAAAATATTTTTAAAATATCTTCATATATTTGCTTTATTGATCCACGTTTTGTGTTACCAGCAAGATCAATGAACGATTGCGTCAAATCGATTCATCTCGCAGAACATAATACAACTATAAATAATTAATACAAAAAAAAATATTAAAAATATTTGTTGTAATAAGTTTCGTCATTTAAAACGTTTTATGAACTGAAATATGAAGAATGTTAAACATAATCATATTTGTTTTCGATCGATTTTTTAATGATTTTTTTCTATTGCAACACTAATAAAACAATTAATACAAATTGACATTGATATGTCACAGACTGATTGTTTACATTCGCTTTGTTTACCTACATTGAGAGTGTTGATTTATTGTGGATTTTCTTTCAACGATTGTTTATTCATTATGGACTCCGACCTATCATTAACCAATGACTCCGGCACATCTACGGACCCCGAATTTCGCTCAAACGATGACCCTGGCTTTTGTGTTATGGACTCCGAACATAGCATAAACGATGAACAACACTCACGTAATATGGACCCCGAAACTAACTCCATCGCTAACCTCGGCTTGAATATGGACATTGAACAAAACCAAAGCGTATCTCATGATAGTCTGCACACAGAAGAAGTGACTTCTTACCAATCCGTATCTCTGAGATGCATAAACTGTGGAACTGATTTGATAGAGAGAAGGCGACATAGGCCACCCAGAAGTCCAGATCTATCCACAGCTGACTTCTTTTTATGGGGTTATTTAAAGAGTCGTGTCTACATCAATAAACCAAATACACTACATCAACTAAAAGAAAAAATTAGCGAAGAGATATCGACAATCTCACGGTCTGTGTGCGGACGAGTATTCGAAAATTTCGTTACTCGCTTAGAAGAGTGTAAAAATCGAAATGGTGGTCATTTAGATGATATGATTCTTAAAAAATAATTTCCAACTCATTAGCTTTCTTTTAATAAAACAATTTTTAAAATATGTCAAATACTTTTTTTTAAATGATTATTTCAAATGTTAACTAATTCATGGCCCACCCTGTATTAATATACAGGGTGACTGGTGAATTACTATCGATATTTGAGGACGTGATATTTGACGATCATATATGACAAAATAAAAATTAATATAACATTTAATTTAAATTTAATTTTATATTAATAAACTTCTAAGTAAAGTTAACCAAAAGTTATGTAATTAATTACGCATCGTGTGAACACCCTACAGATTAGGTATACACTCACACTCACACATACGCGTGTCGCGACGTGGTGTTGTATCACCACGCCGCCGCACGCGTCCACACTTGGAACACTTGGAACGTGTCAACAATTTATTTATTTATACGGAAATTTTGTCAAAAATTAAGTGCCTATTTTTTTCACATAATTCGAATGAGAATCATGTACCGAGTATTCTCCTTAAATATTGATAATAATTCACCAGTCACCCTGTATATTTTTTGTATTAAGGACCAAAGGCGTTAAGGTCATAACATTTCAGTGATCAGTAAAATAAGTTGTGTATAAGTCTTGATTATTGACTTTTGGGTGGGTAGTTGGTGGTGTATGTGACAAGTCAAAAGAAATTTGCTCCTATTAAAATAAATTGTAAATCATTTATTAAGCACTGAAGGCAAGAGTGGTATGTACGTATAAAATCACAAACCTCCCAGCTGTCCTCTCATGTAATTAGTTTACAAACATTCTAAAATACTATATACAACACGAGTGCCACATCACAACATAACCTAATACATATAAATTACTATAGAGGAACACTATGGATTCACTTAAAAAGTCCTTACTGGAATTAACTGGGACTTTTAACACACGCATGGCAGAATTTCAGAAAGATCTGAAAGCAGTTTCACCCGCTACAAGTCCAACGTCAAATATAAATGCACAGTTCATGACATTCCGAACATTCGTCTTGTCTGCCCTCGAGAGTCTCCAGGTACAGGTTGAGTTGCTTACAAGGCAGCAAGATGAATTTGAGATGAGATCCCGGAGAAAAATTATTTTAATTCACGGTGTACCAGAAGAAAAGAAGGAAAATACCTCTTCGCTTGTAACAAAAATACTGTCAGAGCATTTAAAATTTTCTCAGTTTTCTCTTTCTGACTACACCCGCTGCCATCGTCTCGGATCCTCTGCTGGAAACAAACCACGTGCAATTCTTGTCAGGTTTAAGGATGTGTTACTGCGGGATAAGATTTCGTCCAGTGGAAGATACTTCTGAACCATCCACGGTACCGGCGAACTCAGCAACTATTCCAAAAGGAAGTAAAGTGCCTTCATATACTACGAGACCCAAAAGAGTCGTCAAGAAGTAAGGCTCTTCACACTACATAGTTTTATAACATAGGTTTTCTTCATTGTCTTTTAACGTTTATTAGTTATAAACTATTTCACAATAGTTAATTAATTAGTTCAGTTCAATTCAGTTCAGTTCTTCATTTAGATAGTTAAATTATAGTATTTATGTTTAAACGTCGAAAACAATTTTTTTTTTATGTATAAATGTCTAATTGACGCTGAGCGTTGACAGTTGACATATGACAGATGGTCATAGACTATGTAATGTTCAACTACTACAATATTGTCACTATGGTCATTTAGTGTTGATATCTAGATAAGGTTTTTGTTTCTGTCTGTTTTTATTTTATTTTTTTTTTTTGCTTTTTAATTTATTTTGCTGAAAAATAAAGTAAGCTCACTTAGTTAATAGATATAAATTTATTTAGATATCTTTGTTTAGTATAGAATTTTATAAGTCATTTTTTTTTTATTATACATTTTTCTTAGATAAATAATTAACTTTTCTTTTTGTTTTTGTTCTATATTTTGTATACTATATATTTTTTAATTTTTTTATTTTTATAAAGAAGTTGTGTGTGGATTTTCGTTGTGTTTGTAAACAAATATTGTTAAGAATTTATATTAACTTGACTTTGTTGCTGGTGGGACATTGTAAACTTTATTATTATTATTAATTTTTTTATATTTTTTATTTATTGTAATTATTATTTTTAGTTATTATATATAAATATATTTGTTTCTTTTTTACTATGACATGTCAAGATATAAGCCTCGATGATTCTTTTTTCTCACTGTCTTCTAATGAATTGAGCACAAACTGCAGCTTTCACAGTCTTCCCACTCTTAATGAAACACTTGACTCTGTTTTCTCCGGTGTAATGAAAAACTTTAATATTATACACATCAATGCTCAGAGTATTCCTGCACATTATCCAGATATGTTGACTTCTTTTGATAACAGGAATATCCATGCTATTCTGATATCTGAATCATGGCTTAAACCATGTTTGTCCTCTTCATCTTATGTTCTCCCTGGTTTCCAACTTATTCGGAATGATCGTCCTAATCGTACTGGTGGAGGCGTTGCTATTTACCTTCGCTCCCACCTGTCCTTTACGATCATTGACACGTCTAGTGTTCAAGCAACACCAGGAGTAGAATATTTAATGATTGAACTAGCTTTTTCGAAAGTTAAGATTTTACTCGGTGTGTTTTATAGCCCCAACTCAATGATTTACTATTTTACTACCTTTGAATCCCTTCTAGACCAGTATATTCCACTGTATCAACATGCCATTATAATGGGAGATTTTAATACGTGCCTTTTAAAATCTGACTCTCGCTCTTCTCGGCTAAGATCACTAGTCCAATCTGCCAATATTCATATACTCCCTCTTTCTGCAACTCACTGTTTCCCTAACTGTACCCCGTCTCTTCTAGATCTTATTATTGTTTCTTCCACAGATTATGTCGCTAAGCATGGCCAATGCTCTGCTGAAGCCTTCTCCTATCATGATTTGATTTATCTTTCCTACAGAATACGCCCCCCTAAAGCCAAATCGAGAATCCTTCTGCAGCGCAATTTTAGTGGTATGAATTTAGAGCATTTAAGGGTGGATGCTTTAAAAATTGATTGGAATGAGGTTGTCACTGATACTAATATTGACAACCGAGTGGCAAATTTCAACACACTTCTAGTACAATTATATGACAAACATGCCCCTATTCGACCTGTTCGGCTCAGGCATCTTCCTGCTCCCTGGCTTACGCAGGATATTAAAACATTGCAGCACAAAAAAAAACATTGCAAAATCAAAATACAAGGCCGACAGTTCTGACGAAAATAGAATCAGGTATAAAAATATTCGTAACCGTTGCAACAGGTTGTGTAGAGATAAACAACGACGCCACATTCATAAATCAATACTCGACGAAGAAGATACTGGGCGAGTTTGGAAATTTCTTAAATCTATTGGAGTTGGGAAAGCACGTCATAATAACCATCCTAGTAATATTGATTTGAATCAGCTTAATCTGCACTTCTCGTCTTCTTGCTCTATCGATGATGCCACGAAATTAAATACTAAAAATCAAATTCTAGCTTTACCCACTTCTAATGATCCAGCTTTCATTTTTTGTCATATCACTGATAGTGATGTTGAGAGAGGTATTGTAGAGGTGAACTCTGATGCTATCGGTACTGACTCCATTAGTCGTAAGATGATCACCCCAATCATGGACATCCTAGTTCCTATTATTAAAAATTTATTCAATTACTCCATTTCTACTGGATCATTTCCTTCTTCCTGGAAAGATGCCCAAGTTATTCCCTTACCTAAAAAATCAAATCCCTCCCGCTTTTCCGATTACCGTCCTATTTCCATACTTCCTTTCCTATCTAAAGTATTTGAACGTATTGTGCATCGACAATTAAACCTTTTCCTATCTAGACAAAACCTCCTTAACCCTTTTCAATCTGGTTTCCGAATAGGTCATAGTACGACTACTGCGTTAGTGAAAATTACCGAAGATATACGCCTTGCTATGGATAATCAATGTCTAACAGCGTTGATCTTACTAGATTTCAGCAATGCCTTTAATAATGTTGACCACGAGCTCTTACTAGCTACATTATGCTCTCTTAACATATCTCCTGCAGTGATTGACTGGTTTCAAAATTATCTTTGCGGTCGCCGGCAACGAATTCGTGTTGATGATTCCTTTTCCAATTGGTGCACGATCAAGGCCGGTGTGCCGCAAGGTGGCGTGTTGTCTCCTCTCCTTTTTTCTATTTTCATTAATCGCATTACTTCTCAATTATCTTCTCTCTATCACCTGTATGCCGACGATCTCCAATTATATAAACATTCTAAATTAATCGATTTGCCTAGTACAATTCAAACATTAAATAAAGACCTAGAATCAATTGTACTTTGGAGTAAATCCCATGGACTTAAAGTTAATCCTTTGAAAACACAAGCAATTATAATCGGCAGTCAAAAACTAGTTTCCCGCATCGATTGGCCCCATTTGCCTGGTATAATTGTTGATGGAACACTTGTTCCATACAGTGAAACTGTAAAAAATCTAGGTGTTGTTTTTGATAGATTTCTGACCTGGACCCCCCAAGTAAGCGAGGTGAGCAGGAAGGTGTTTGCATCTATCGGGTCTCTTCGCAGATTGCGAAATTTTCTACCGATACCAACTAAAATTGTGCTTGCACAATCTCTCCTGCTACCGATTCTCGATTATGCTGATACCTGTTATCTCAATTTAAGTGAGGAATTGCTTAATAAACTTGAACGCATCCAGAATCTTTGTATACGGTTCATATTTGGACTTCGTAAATATGACCATGTTTCAGAATTTCGCGAAAAACTCAAGTGGCCCTCAATCCGCCTTCGCAGGAATACTCACATTCTTTCCCTATTATACAATATCCTATTTAATCCTACCTCTCCCTCATACCTTAAAAAGCGCTTTGAATTCCTGAGTGATTCTCATTGTCGCTCTCTTCGGTCTGAAGATAAGTTGATTTTAAAAATCCCCTCCCACAATACATCCTTCTATTCTAAATCCTTTTCTGTGGAAGCTGTACGGCTCTGGAATTCCTTACCACTTTCCATACGGCGTGCTCAATCCCTAGCAATATTCAAACGCCTTTTAAAAGCAAACTTCTTCCCCCCTTAAATCTTGTCTACCTGTTTCCTTAATATTTATGATTTTTATTTTTCTATTTATTCTAAACTCCTACTCTGCAATGAATCTGGCTTGTATTTTTTAAATTTATTATAAATATATGTATATATATGTGTATGTATATGTATGTTTGTATATATATATGTATGTGTGTATGTGTATGTGTATATATATATATATATATATATATATATATATATATATATATATATATATATATATATGTGTATATATATATATATATATATGTATTTATGTATAAATTATATATATAGATTGTTGTATATTGAATGTAGTATATATATGTTTTATTACATATATGTATATAGTTTCGTATATGTATATTTTTCTCTCACATACATATGTACACCTCTAATGTTTTATTCTGTTTACTGTGTCCTACGTAACATGGTTCCCTGCAGAGATCGCTGCTTAGCGATAAGGCCGCCAATTGTACATTTTGATTAAGTTTTGTACTGTTTAATTTATTTATTCTTTGGTGTACAATAAAGAATACTTACTTACTTTAATTTAAAAAAACTATTTGCTTTGTGAATTTTTTTTTGTCTGTATAGGTCATACATATTACTAGTTTTTTAGACTTTTCGATTATAAACATGTTTGGTTTTTATCGCTATCTTGCAAGCAAAAGTTTTAACACAAATATGCAAAATATAATTAAAAATAATTGTTGATTAATTATAAATTTCTCATTACTAAGCAATATATAATGTAATTTGCTTATCTTCGTTCACAAATGCATAAAGACAAATTAAATAATTATCATTTGTTTTATTTATATTGTAAATTTGAATAATACTCATCATATATATTGAATGTTGTTCCATCATTTGTCTTGTGGCAGAGTGTCTCGTTATATTAAAACAAATAATTTCTAAATACTGTTGAAGTGTTTTTTATTGTACGTAAATAGTTATTCTGGTAAACAAGGTAAGTTTTGAAAAATAAAGGAAAAGTTATTTTCTTCAATTTTACCACAAAATTTGATTATTCTTTAGTAATATCTATTACTTTAGTGTATTTTAACCTCACAAAAGATTTTTATTTAAACGAAGTTTCCGATATATATCATAGTATATATAGGTATAAGTTACTAGGTATCCTTCCGATTTCTTATGTTTTTATTTTATTGGCAGCACAAGACGGCATAGAATGTTTGTTTTCCTGAGATGATTGTGGTCATAGCACCGAAGATTATTA